GCTCACATCCATAAAAAGCCTCATTGCCAGTTTAATTGAGAAGAATCTGAGGTGTCAGTAGTGCTGTGGCTCTCTCTGCTTCTATAAATGAAGGTTGCTGATAGAGGTAGATAGACAGTAGGTGTATTATATCACAATGTGACTTCCTGCAGCTAAAGGGTGCTGGATTGTCAGTGTGGGAAACACCTTTCTTGTATCCTGATAGAACTGGAAGTTAAACATTAAGTGGAATTGAGGTATTGTAGGACAGAGACAGGCACAGGCTTGTACTGATGTATTGACCAGGTAAACAATCGTTAACGCCAGCAGTGTGGTAATGTCTGTTATCTCTAGCAGGTGGCAGAAGGGCAACATCAGCATGTCTGTGCGTGGGTGCAATGCTCTCTGTGCGGGGTGAGGGTGGGTCATTGTCCCTCAGTTTGACCAGCGAAAGTCAACGGTTAAATATGAAAAGGAGAACTGAAACTCTGCGGTATGGCTGGAATTATTACTCAATAAAAGGTTCCTTGTCCCACACACCGACAGGGGGTTTAGGTTGTTGAACTTTTTCTGATAACAGCTGGCGTGCACTCTGAGTGTGATGATATACTGATTGTATCCATTGGCCGAAATGCAGAAATGGTAAAGAAAATGGCCCAAAAGATGTGAGGCCGAGCTTAATCGTTGTGTGAACCAAGGGGAATGATAGATGACACAATTAACTACTGTTATAATCATTAAATTCTAAGCTAGGTGTAGACAGATCCACCGTTCTATAGATCCAGTACTCCATTTTATTAAAGAATCCATAACTGATTGATGCCACAACCAAAGATCACTTAACTCATTAGATTAGGTGGAGCAAAGACTTGATTCATACTCTGCCAACCTTCAGCCCAAATAGTTAATGGAAATATCGGAAAAACTACAAATTAATGTTGACGCACTTGAACCACAATTAGAGGAATTTACGGCATTGTTTTGCCCGATTAAACATAAGTTGTAAAATAGTTTAGTTAGTTTAAATACCACTAAAGTAGTAGAAAAGTATTCTAAAAATATGCTTCACTATATAATGATGGTCACGCATTTGGACAGAGTGGTCCAATGCATCTTTAAAACTTTTAGTATTGTAAATTAAAGAAAATGGCCCCCTTTTGTGATAATATAGGGGACCACAGAACTTTTTTTTTAATTTAATGTTTCTTTTACTGTATGTTGCAGCGCAACACTCGCATGCCGGCCTTACTC